CATAACTTGTTGGATATTTTAGTTTGAGAAACATGTATATAATTTATGAAAACGTGATGATCTTTTATAATTAAGATGTGTGTCACTATACAATCTCAAGTACCCACTAGATTAAAATATTTATTGTAATTATAATTTTACATTTCGATACTTAATATATATAGATAAATAAATTGTATCGATTATGCTAAAACTAGGTTGATGGCCTAATTATTAGTGCATATTACATTATTTCCAACAAATTTATATATTTTCATAATTGCATCTAAATATTAAAAAATAATAAATGTGTGACATTTCATATTAATTTATATTTTATAATTTAAAAAAGTATGATGAATCGGTCTATCTAACTGTCATCCCACATCTCAAATAAAAGATTTTATATTCGGATTAGCCCGGGTGATTTTTTTTTTTTCTAGCTACGCTATATAGTTACCCGCATTTTGAAGTTTGTTTGGGCCGTGATTGGCCTTATCTGTTCTGTAACGTTTGTAAGCTAAATTGTTTTGGGCCGTGTAACTGGTTTTTTGTTAGGTTAATGATATGCTTGCAACTAAGTTTAGGGCCCACGCAGCTGTAGTCGAATCAGCAACAGTATATTGACGTCACATAATTTCCCACACTACCTACTTGCCAAGCAATCTTGTTTGGCTTACTTTTTTCAATAAATAATAAACACTAGTATTAATATCTATATACAATATGGGTGTTGAGTTAATGAATATATATATGTGTAAAGTTATTTATGTCTAAAATTAACTTCAGAGCAAAAATAATATAAAAACATCACGAAGCATAGATTTTTGCCACGTCAGCATCCGAAGCGTAGAAATCTGTCACTTAGGCTTAACACGTTTTGAATTAATATGTAGAGAGGGATATGTGTTTGGAAAGATTTTTTTGTGCCATTTAGGACCTCGTGGATATATGTTTAGTGAAAAATTGAATGTTTAAATTTTGTTTGATTTTCTTTGGGAAGAAGTTTTAGTAAAAAACTTCAAAATAATTGGTAAGTAACTGTCAACTAATATTGGGCATGACTTAGGGTGTGATTGTTTATGGATTCAACTAGTTTTTATTTGATTGTTTTTTAAACTATAGGTAACTTTGAAAAAAGTGGTATGGTTAGTTGTTAGTGGATGTATTAAAATAATATTTGAATAAAATAATTAAAGTTGATTTGATGTAAAATAGGAGAAAAATAATTGGAAGTGATGGTTAGTTAAAATTATGTGAGTGGATGAATAGTGAACTAAAGTTGATGTGATGTGTAAAAGATTGGTTGATATTATTTAATTATATTGATAATATGAGAGATAATAGGGTTGGATTAAAATTGAGTTTAATTTGAATTTTGATTAAGTTTTTTACTGTTGAAACTATAAACAATCGTCCCAGACATGAAATGAGTGCTGCTGCTTGTGGGCTTCATTTCAATAGAAAAAACTAAAAAGTGAAAACTAGGGGTACTTTATTTTTCAATGAATTTGATATTTTTTTGTGCCGGACTGCCGCGACCGTGCGCTTCGCCTCCGGACGGCGACGGCCTCGGCCTATTAATATTCTAGTTAAATGAAAAAAATATTTTCAAAGATTTCTACTTTCACAATATCACTTAGTTTTTTGTAATCTTTTCATCACTGACATCATGAGTTAATAATATTCATTATACATTGATGAATGTAGTGTTAGTTCAAACTGAAAAATTAAATAGAAAAACATTATGATCACAAAAAGATCGTTAGCTGTTAGCTGAGATAAAATGTGAATTAGTATATACACTATAAATATTAAATCTATATTTATTGTTGGCAAATTTCAATAAATTTTATTCAGTCATCAATTATTAATAAAAAATAAGATTTCATTTGATAATAATTTTTACGACCAACATAAAAGAAATACTTTAATCTTTTAACATATTTTCAATATTTGGTTATGGAATTATTTATTTATATCCCGTAAAAATATTGGCCAGAAAAGCAAAAATATAGAGAGAGCGCTTGGATGAGATGACGTTAGTCTCTTCCAACTTAACCAGTGGTCTCGTGTTCGAGCCCGAGAAATGAAGCAGTGTTAAAACTCTTGAGGGAGAGTTTTGCCGCCCTTGTGGTCCTATCCGACTCGATTCCGAATTAGTCGATTCCCCTGTGGATCCAAAAACCGGAAGGTCCGTAATAAAAAAAAAAAGAAAAAGAAATGAGCTAAAATTTAAAACCTCAAAGAATATTCCTTGTTCTCCCCCAAAAATCCAAATTGATACATTATTAGGCCGTGTTTGGTCTTCGTCTTAAAATCCCACTACAGCAGATTCATCTGGTCACCGTTTCATTCATCCACATCTGTGAATCTAGCCTTCAAGAACTCAAACCCTTGACATCAAAATCAGATCTTTTAGCAGAGTAATCACCGGCAACCATGGCGAATTTCGACATCTTGCGGTCGGAGCAAGATCTTCTTATGTATTCGTCCCTTTTTGGCAATCCCAAAGGTTCGATTTTGATCTATATATGTCATGTTTCTGATTTACCGATTTAATCCGAGTATTAAATTTCAAAACAAACAAAAATTGTTGCAATTTTCTATTGTTTTTGTCTGGGCTAGAAAAAAATTATTTTCTTTTTTTATGGGTTTTCTCCTGTTTATCCTTAATTTGAAAATGGCGCTGACTTTTGTTATTGCATATGGTGCCAGATGAAAATGTTAAATCGCGTGGGACGGAAATTGAGGAAAAAATCGAGTTTCTTGAGAATTTGGCTGGAAAAGTAAATTTTTTGCTGCCCCTTTTACATTTTGTTGGTTAATTTCTGTTATTTTTATGTATGAAATTTATGCATTTTTTACATTTACATCTGATAAACTCATAAAAAAAAAATAGAAAAGAAGAAGTTTTGGTGTGGAATATGAAATGCTATGTTCATGGTTGTAAATTTTAAGTAGTGACAATCTAATTTTGATGCTTTTACTCCAGAAGCATATTAATGCTATAAATAGCGAGCTGAATCTAAAGTTCTCGACTTTTTCGTGCAGGTTAGCAACAGAAGGTCCCGCCGATGGCTAAACGATCGGTTGTTGATGGAGCTTGTTCCTCGCTTGAATGCTGATGAAATCAGGGGACTGTTTGCTCCACCACCTTGGGGTAAGCTTCTTTTTTTTTTCTTTTTTCCCCTCCAAAGAACACAGGTTAATAAAAAAAGGAAATTGGTAAGAACATTTCATTGCCTGGTTTGCCAAAATTTGTCCTTGAGTAATTACAATATCCATTTTTACGTGAGTGTGTCTTTAGATGCTAAATATAACTAGATTTTTGTAAGTTTTTATAACTGATTACATGAATATGAAAGACACTTGTTAAATTTTTCTTTATTCCATTTATACAAAGTGCTGTCATCACTTAGCAAATAGTGCACTTGAATAACCTATACGCATCTTGGGTGCTTGGCTTGGTGTATATCTCACAAGTTAATTATATATGAATTTGTAGGTGATGATGTGCCTCCTTCAGCATTTAGCAAGACAAATGTGAGGGAGTGGGATAGTTTCAGAAACATAGACATGGATAAGGAGGTACAATCAATCTCCTTTTATTCTCATATAAAATTTCGAAACGGCCACATTAAGTTTATTTTGCGGATGGCCTGGAGAATATGCTGAAAGTTGATTTTTAGTTTTTAATCAATATCTATATATAAATTGAAAGATTATGGTTATCCTTTCAATGCTTTCACCTTTCTTAGTCTGCCAGACGAGTGTGTATACCACTTTTTCAATGCACCAAAACTATTTTCTCCAGTATCTTGAACCGACTTTTTTTGTGTATTAATCTGTAATTCTTTTTTGATTTAGGATACATCATTTTGCTTTCAATTCTTAATTTATAACATCAACATAATCTAAATGTTTATAATTTCCCCTCTTTCTGTAGGCCTCTATCATGGAGTCCATTGACAGCTCATCTTCAAAGAGGAAAGGCCATTTGGATGCTGAAAAAGTTGCAGTGCTGAAAGCTTGGCACCGCGTAGATGGTCGAACCAGAGAAGCACTTCGTCGTTGTTATCTTTCAGATTTGCTGAATGGATATGAGGTGGTTGAAAATATCCTTTTGTGAAATATAAGGTGTTATTTTTTTTGTTCTCTAATTGTTCCTAGTGTTCCGTTCAAATTTATGACCAATTTTCGAGACAGATTTTCATCCAGGACAATTTTTACTAAGGTATTGATTTATGGATTAAATTCCTTGTAATGGGATCTGAATGTTTCCCCACTAAATTATAGCAGTTGGGTCTTTAGTTCGAATTGTATCATTTATTTATTTCCACTTTTCTGAATTTTTCTGTTTTGAAACTTTCACAACTGATGGAAATAATTTCACCAGGAATGTGTGCGCTCGTTTGTTGAGGATGGTGGGCACAGAGATGTGCTGGTGCTGCATGTTCAAGATCCTTTCCACCGTTTGCTTCTACATGGTGTTTGTGAGGTATATTATCCTATACATATTGTGAGGCATATTATCCTGTGCTTGTATATAAATAAATTCAATCCACACTCAATTCATATTTAAAATCTATTCAACTTTAACCCAACCCTACTATCAATATAATTAAATAATATCAACTAATTATTATTACACATCATTTTAATTCACTAGTCATCCACTCACATAATTTTAACTAACTATCACTTCATATCACCTCTCATACTTTTATATCAAATCAACTTTAATTGTTTTATTTTAAATATTATTTTAATATAAAACCAAAATCCTACTACAACTAACCATACTACCTTTTTCAAAATTAACCTTGGTTAACCCCAAAAATTCGTTTTGAGCGGATATTTTTATATACAAACACGCCCTAGTGTGTTGATGTGAGACAATGCATATCAAGATACTTACCCGAAAAAAAAGAAAATAAAGAATCATCAATCACATAGCATTTCAGTGTGTATATCAAGATACTATGAAATGTTTTGAAAATCTTATTTGCTAGGCAATTACTCTTCAGGGTACGGGTAAACTTTTCGGATGTTTTGATTTTGACACGGTCATCTTTTTTCTACAGTTTTATAATCTGGTTTCATCCACGGCCGACCAATCAGAAGGCTGTGAATCTTTGAAGGTGACAAGCATAAGGAAGAAACAGTCAGCGTGTGCTGATATCCCCAGCATCACTCTCTGCAAATTTCTGAAAACAGCAAAAGAAGGGTTTTGGTGATGGATTTTGCCATGTTAACGGGCAAATGTACTATAAAATCAAGCTGGGTTTCTTTTCCCCGGTAAATTTATTGCACATATGAATCTAATAAACTCATTGCAATAAGTAGTGCTCTCCTCTCGAAAGCTATGATGGGTTTGTCGTGTAGAAATGTCTCATTTCTTCACAGCCAAATTTTTAATCGGCTTTGGTGGTTTGACTTTGGGCGTGTAGGATAAATGTGGGTTTCCATGTTGTTTATGGTGAATGTTAGGTGACGTATTTGTGGAATTTATCGGAAATATTCTTCTTTTCAAGACAAACTTGCATAGCCAGCAAGTTTGTTTTTTCAACTTTGAAATCGAACTTACATTTTAACTTATAAGTGTGTATACACTGTCGACTTATATAAAATGCAACTCTTGGGAACCCTAGTGAAAATATGCACCTCTAGCTAATAGCGAGTATTCTTTTCTTCATCTCTTCAATGAACAAGCTCAATTGGTGTTTAAGTTGGAAAGTAAACCAATTAGTTTCTTGGAAAGAAGCGTGTAGGTTGATTCACCCGGATGAATGCTATCCCAGAACACATAGCGTGAAGGTTCTGCACAAACCGGAGTTAGTCGGGTGCAAAGGGGTCCGGCTTCGAGCAACCCGGTACCACAACACCCTCTTCTAGTTTCCACAAATCCTGCAAAGGTATATCATACTCTTTATACGTATTCATGTAAGAAACACAGATACGCACTCAGCTAAATTAAACGAGTCTGGCTCGGCTCGTTAAGGCTCGAGTTTGGCTCGAGCTCGAGGCCTTAACAACCCGAGCTCGACCTCGAGCTCGAGCTCATTTAAAGCTCGTTTTGTTAACGAGCCAAGGCTCGTGAAAGTTCTAGAATTCGGCTCGTTAAAGATATGGATCAGCTCGTTAAGGCTCGAACATGACTCGTTAATAGTTATAAACAAGCTGATCCCGAGCTCGATTTCTAATGGTTTGAGCTCGAGTTCGAGTTCGAGTTCGGGTTCGAGCACCCTTAGCTCGAGCTGAGCTGTGCTCGTTTAGGCATACACAACTACACTCGGACATTACATATACTTGCCATATTTTTCGGGGTTGTTGATTATGTCCATGAGAGGATTATACACATCCACGTAGAGGATTTTGCTTCCTGGAAGCTCGTTTTCCATACGTGGCAGCAGCTTCATAAGCTTCTCATTGTATGACTTGGCGTCGGCATTCTCCCGGTGGCTGCACGCCCTCAGAATCGGGGACTTGACCGTCATTTGTATCGGCAAGCACCCGATTGGCGGCAGGCCCGACACCACCATTTTCCGGCACCCGAGAATATACAGTTCCTGAAAAGAAATCTTCATGACAAAACAAAAACAGAGGAAAAATGCAGTATTTAGTATTCATCACAGGTAAAGTGTCTCTAACCTTAACAAATTCCCTTAACTTCATCTGCAAGAAGTCTTGGTACTTGTCCGCAGAGAACCGAACCCTCCTCGTTGGAAAATCGTAAAAGTTTAATATAAAATCGTTTGTCCCGGCACTCACAACGACCAGCGCCCCTTCAAGAACCTTCCGGGCCTCCCGTTTTCCGAGAACGCCCTCGAGCCTAATGGCATAGTCCTGAAAATACCCCGGCTGTCTCGAAACAGGTATGACCCCGGAAATGGAGGTCGTGAGGTCGTCGAGACCCGACCCGGCCGATGCGAAGCTGACACCTGTTGCGATTTCGTAGTCCGACAGGTTTGGGGAGAGGAAAGGGGGAACGGTCTCTTTGAGGCCCGTGAGGGAGGCGAGGATGTCTGGGACGAGCCTGCCGTTGGAGAATCGGCCTGTCGGGACCCGGCCCGGGAAGTCTCGACCGTAGGGCGGGTGGTCGCCTCTAAACGGGGTGGCTATGTAGTTGTTGTTGCCGGTGTCGACCGACGAGTCGCCGAACGCGAGGACTGCTGGGAAGCCGGGAGGCTTCCCGGCGGCCAGTCTTGCTTCCGGCGAGACTGCGAGGAGGGGTAGTAAGATCAAGAACATGTTGGTTTGGCTATGTAAAAGTAATGTAAATGAGGATATAACACACACAAACACATATATATGTAGATATATGTATATTAAGGGATATGTATGTGTGGTTTGTCTTTAAGGACTTGAAGGTGTTTAGTGAATAAAGGATGGGCTGTGAAGGTTGTCCTGTTGCTAGATTTCATTGAGGACTGACACATGGTCAGGATAGGAACAGCCATTTTCCTTTACCTTGGATTTTGAGGTACTTATAAATGATTTTAACTGTAGATTAAAGCTAAGGAAAGGTCTTTTTTTAGCTAATGAAATGTGATTAAGTGTATATAATCGTAGCTTTGATTTGATGGGCATAAATTTTTAAGGGTTCATGCATGAAGGAAGATGAAACTATAATTTTATAATTTTATTAATTATGATATGATTATGGACATATAAATTTTTTTAAAAAATAACCCTTTTTTGTGCTAACGATACGAATATTTAAAGTCGTGATTTGTTTCTCTTTTGGCTAACACGTTTTGAAAGATTTTTTTTCCCTTCATATGATTATACATCTTTAAGGCAAAGTATCTTGAGCTTCATGTGAAACGTTGTTGTTATTATTATTATTATTATTATTATTATTATTATTATTATTATTATTATTATTATTATTATTATTATTATTATTATTATATCAAAATTAATGATTCTGATTCACTCACGTATTCCAACATGATTTGATAACGCACACTAAGGTAGTCAAATTCCACAAACATTACACACATTGAAACCAGCACAGCACAAACATTCCACACATTGAAACCAACACAACACTATTATCTTCCCTATACCAAGCTACCAAGCCTATCATTGGTTGTGAAGTTGAAGTTAGCACACATGGTCCCGTGCAACATCACAGACGAGCTAAACCCCAGCCTCCCGCCCTCCATATCGAACTCCACCAGGCTGTCCTCCATCTGGTGGGCCCCGATCACCACCTCCGCCGCAGCCCCACTCGATCGTGCCCCACCATCCACGAACCCCATGCACCACACATTCTCGGCTGCATCCCCGC